GATCTCGCTCTTGCAGTGGTCCTGCAGAGGTGCAGAGAGCCAGACTCCCTCAGCCCCTGACCAGACTTTGATTGCCTTGCCTATGGGCCTCCTGGCCTCTCGGACCCACCTTGGACACCCTTGGCCCATCTGCTTGAAGTTCAACATGCTTCAGCTTGTTTTATGTTTGTGCCCTCTCTCCTGTGTTATACTGAAACCTCCATTCATTCGTTTGTTTAACAAGTGGGGATTGAAACCTCAAGTTCCATGTGGATGGTGGGCCCTGGATATACAGTGGTATGTAAATTGTGTGATCCCTGCCCCAGAGGCTTATAGCTAGAAGGAAACTACAGAAACCCTTTGAGGTTTAACACTTTTGAAGAGAGCCCTGAGATGTGGAGCTCTAGAATAGCTTTCAGTGATTTATTCTTGCCTTTTATCTCTCTCTGTCTCTCACACACACACACACACACACACACACACACACACACACACACAATTGTGCAGCAGCTACTAGTTTACCATTTGGGGTTTACCTTAGAAAAAGGCAAATTCATACTTACTTGAGACCATCTGGGTTCCCAATGATGTTCAACAGTTTCCAGGTGCCAGGGCTGCGATGCACACAAGCTTGAGGAAAGCACACAGTACGCACACCTGGAGCAATGGGGAAGCCAGAGGGTTTTCTGAGCAAGTAGCATCTACCGCAGGACGGGACAAGCCAACTCAGAAAATTCATACGAGCGTTCCGCTAAGGTCCTGGGCATGAAACATCTTCTTGCGCATTGTGGAGCTGAGCCAGGAACAGAGGATTACGAACGTGGTCACACACGTTTAGTGTACTGAATCCACTTTGTATTCAAAATGCCGCAGACCCAATTTGAGGAGAGCAATATATACCATCTATATTCTAAAAACAGGGTATCGTTCTTGCCCTAAGACAACTTCAACAGACACAACAGAATGACTCATCTTTTCCTCTTGATCAAAGAATGTAATTTATAACCTGGAGGACACTGCAGACTTAACTGCACATTCTGTGTTATTTTATAAGTGCTACTGGAGAACAGAAATGGTTAGTTTGTGGGGTTGCTTTGGGTTATTTATTTTGGGTAACTGGACACACCTTCATTTTAAGATGAGCGCTGAAGGACAAGGAAAATCTTTATCTTGGTTAACAAAAGTGCCTTCCTCTGTGGAATCCCCTGGGCCTCTCCTGTCCTGTCTCTGTAAGAGTGAGAGGCGATTTTTCTTGGTCAGTATCATACACACCTCTCTGGACATCTACTTTGTGTGACCCCCACTGGACAGACAATGTATATTTTATTAACTCATTCTGGCAAGAAACTCCTGAAGTGAGAACAATTTTTTCTTAAACCATATGAGGAAACTGAGGCCCAGAGAGGTCAAGTGCCTTGTTCAAGGACACCCAGCCAATAAGTTATTGAGTCAGGACTCACATTCCAGTCTACCAAATGACTGTCAAGATCCTTCTCCTGCAGGGATTTGATTAGCCCGATCTGACATGTAAGGGTCTGATCTCCTCTTAGCTGAAGTGCTCCAATCCACTGCCATTTCAGCAGGATGACCGACATCCTAAAGATGTCTCAGGCACACTGCCTCACCCTGAAGGGGCATATGGATCAGTAAAGGGAGATTTGATCATGGAGTCTTTACTGTGTGTGTTAGAGTACAAGAATCCCTCTTCAAAATGTCGGCATGGTCCATGTCTGCTCAGCTGCTTACTAACCATATCTCTCAGCTGACAGGAAATTCCGTGAGGCAGGAGCCATAGCTGCGGCATTCGTCCACCTCTCTCTAGTGCCCAGAAACAAGCATTTGTTGAATGAATGAATTCTATCTGAAGTTCTGTCCTTTTTAATACATTGTCTTGCAGTTTTTATAATCCATTTATAGAGCTCTTCATAGACTACTAATAAATTCCTATAGGACATTGGAATCCACAGCCATGGAATAGTCCCAAGAAATGGCTTTAAAAAATCCTATTTGAGATTAGCTTTTATGTATTTCTGAGTAGCTGTACCTGGGTTTCTCTTCTGAGAATACACACCATGGGATATTGGCATCTCATTCCATTTGGACACTTACGGATTCTGAGTTACAAGGTGGGTGGAAGTAGCAGAAGGAGAGCTATAAGTCTCCCCGCCTTGAAACCCAGGCACTTCAGGTATCCAGGGGCTCAGCTCCTGATGTGGATTTTAACCACACACTTGGCATTTGCAAGTGGCTCATCTCTGTATGCAGACACTATGATGGTTGTGGGTAAGGGACCAACTCTAGGATTCAAAGCCAGCCCGGGGGCTTGCTCCTGCCGTGAACCTGGACACACTTGCATTTTGTTTTTACACCCTGATAAAATGGAAGTATACCATTTGTTGTTTGCACACTGACAGAGAGGACTGTGTTTTGTGAGCTTGCAGCTGCCCCACTTGAGAGCCTCCCTCCACATACCAAGGCACAATAGAAGGGGAACAGGAAAAGGGCTCTGGAGAGCTCACATTCTACCTATACTTTTAACTTTTGCAAACCAATTTTATGGGTCTTCTCCCATGCATTCATTACCTCTGTGTGTGTGAAGAGATGGTAGTGTAAGGGTCTGTGGGGGTCGCATGAAGCAGGGCTGAAAGCCGTCTGGCAGAGCGGTTGGAGTCAGAAGCCATGTCACCAAGCCACACTGGATTAAGGGATGTTATTTATGGCCACCTGCACTGGACTTCTCTGAAAGGCTTCTGTCAAGCACCCAACCCTTCCTGCACATCAGTTTCCAGTTCCTCTCCTTCATGTGAGCTTAAGAGCCTGTGCTCTGAAAACATCTCTGTCTGAGACCAGGAGAACACTTCACAAGGCCAAGAGGTCCTAATGAGGAAATGGGTAAAATAGTTACTGGGATTCTTGAGTATGCAATGCAAGCCTGGAAAGGTGCAGATTAGAGGCAGAGGGAAGAGAGGCTGCTGCCTTCCTCCAGCCACTGGAATGTAGGAGTGGGCTGGACCATAAGTGTCATTAGAAAGGCTTAGTGTTTTTCATCATAAAGTGGTGGGAAGAGCAGCACTTGCTTCCCAGGCTTGGGGAAGGGTCCCTGACAGTCTGCCTGGCAGCCTCTTAGAGGTAGCAGACTCCAGGCTGCACAGGATTGGTCAGAAAGACTCTGTGAGTGGCTCCTGAGTGTGAGGACGGAGGCCATGAATCTGAAGGGCGGAATCCATGGAAGGAGCCAGGCCCTGGTCATGTCTAGACTGTGCTTAGGCAGGCAGTGGGTGCCTCAGTCTTGGCTAAGATCTCCTAGCTGACTGACCCGATGCTGTATCGTGCATTTCCCTGGACCACAGAAGGTTCCATGTGTGCACTCTTTGAAGACTAAAACTGCCGCAGTACAGCCTTGATACCTCAATCTACTCTTTTAAAAATTTGTGATGATGTAGGCAAGACACACTTAGAGTCTTAACCATTTCCCAGTGTACAACTCAGTCATGCTAAGTACATTCACATTCTTGTAGACCCGATCTTCAGAACAGTTTTCCTCATGAGAGCCTGGAATCCTATATCCGTTAAATAAGTCTCCATTTTCCCTTCTCTGACAACCAGCTACCTCAACATGCATTGTGATGGTTTTACCTCTTCCTTTATGCATTTTTGTGTCTTGTACTTATGGGTGTTTTTGGGGGGTGGAAGCTCTTTGAATGAGGTTGGAATGAAGTAGATCTAAAACTTTTGTATTTTAATGACCTAAATCTGAAACCATTTAGAGTCACAAAGAAACTTACTTCTCTTGACAGTTTTTAAAATAGATTTAATTTGCATGCTCAGTAATAAACCATATTGGTTTCTAAGTCTGTGAAACTGTTTGGTCTCATCTCACATTTCTAAACTCTGGTTCCCTTGTGAGATACCAGCCATGGTTTGGGTTCAGTCACTGCTTCCACAAGTGTGAAATCTCTTCCAATCCCCTCCTGCTGAAGAGGGTAAAATGTGCTGTTGAGACTAGCAAGGAGCCACTTGCCAAATGCAAAGTTGTTTGGAATGGTGAAGGTTTAGCTAAAAATTTCATGCAAATGTTTCATTTTTTGGCATTCTATATCCAAGTTTGTTTTTTAATATTGATATTAAAATTGTTTAAGTTATTGGCTTTCGGATGTACAAAAACTGTAAATGAAATTGACTCTGTAAGATTGGCATTCCATCATTCACTGACTTTATGATTATAGGATAGAAGAAATTGAGAATCTTAAATTCCTAGTCACTTTTTACCCATGTTCAAATTAAACTGATTATCTGAGAATAGGTGGGATGATCTTAGGTATATAGTTTTTAGGGAAATTCAGGAGCAAGAATGTCCCTCAAATATTACAAAAACAATATATTATGTTCCATAACTAATATTATATCCTAAGAGAGAATTTTATGTTAATTAGTTATAAAAACCCAAGGCTTAGTTATGAATCATTTACCTGAAGTTAGCCCCAGCTTCCTAGGCTCATCTTTGCTCTGAAAATAAAAAGTATTAGACAGTGCAGACAGCAAAAGTTTGAATGACCTTTATGAGGCAACTTCCCTTGGATTATAAAAGAAAGGATCTTCACTGTGTGTTCAACCCTCTTCTAATGCACAGGTTGAAGTGCTTTAATTCTTCCTGAGATAAATTTCTTCCTTTACCAGCTATATCCAAAAGTCCTACCACAAACTAGATACTAGGCATCTAGCAAGAATCGGTACAATCAAGACTCCTAGTCTCATAAAGTTCACATTCTTAGGTGGAAGAAAAATGCTATATAAATAAACACATACCTAATTTCAGAATTGATTTATAAAACAAAGAAATTTCAGAGACGTGATTAAGTTTCCCCAGTTTGATTAGGTGACCCATGACAACACCTCTGAGGTCTCACCTCATTTAAATTAATCATGGCTTTAACAAGAAGCAATGTGAACTTTGCTTGTGAACAATGGGAGGAGAGGTTTCCAAGCAACGGAAACCACAGGTACAAAGGGACTGAGGTAGAGCCAGCTGGAGTTTTCCTTGTTTGGAGGAGTCCTGAAAAGGCCAGTACAGTCGGAATCCTGCAGAAGAGGAGACTGGGAACCCATACCAGGCAAGAGAGGTGGGCAAGGGGCAGATCACGTGGGATTTCATTGCTCCAGCAACATGGTTTGGCTTTTACTCCAACTGCAGTGGGAAACAGCTGAAGGAATGTGAGCTAGAGGTATGAGGAGACCATACTGAGGGCTGTGTAAAATCTCCGTTTCACGGCAGGTGAGATACTCTTGTATTTGTCCAGGTGTGAGCATAGTGAGCAGGGAGGGAAGTGATCAAGTTCGAATATAAAAGTGGAGGTACGGTGGTTAATTTAATATGTCCACTAGGCTGAGCCACAGTACCACTGAGCAAACAGTATTCTGTTTATTTCTGTGGAAGCGCTGCTTGGACGAGATTTGTATTTGAACAGATAGACCGTGAGCAAAGTACATGACCTCCAGTACTGTGAGTGGCGTTTTCCTGAGCTGAGAAAATTGTGCCAGTAGGCTGCCTTTTGGGCTTTAGCATCACCCCTGGGTCTTCTGTCTGGTTGCTCACCTGACAGAGCTTGGACTCACATCTGTACAACTGTATAAACCAACTTCTTAAAGTTACCCTTTCTCTCTCTCTGTACACAGTATATGCGTACACACACGCACATACTCACACACACACCTGTTCTGATTCTTTGAAAAACCCTGGCAGAAATAAGGTCCAGCTGGGCTTGCTGATGAATTGGTACAAAAGGATTCAAGTGGAGAACCCCTAGGTTGGCGCTCTCCAGTACAAATAGGATTCGGGACATATCTATTGCTAGATGCCTTCTAGCAGCCACATTAAAAACGACAAATGAAATTAATTTTGAGAGCATATTTTATGTATAATAAAATAGCCAACAGCATTATTTTAATGTAATCAATGCAACAAGTGTTTCTCAAAATTTTCAATTCTTTTTTTCATACCAAGTGCTAGAAAATTGGTGTGTGACGTGTACCTATACACCTTCCCGATTTAGTTCAGCTTTCTAAGTGCTCAACCACCAATGTCCTGGCCAGCAGAGGCCTCACTGGCCTCATATCTGATCGCAGTAGAACCCGAAGTGTTGCTTGGACCAGACTTGAACCCTCAATGCAGCAAGAAATCTATTTTTCTTGCCTCAAAATGCTGACATGTGAGAACACCAATTTTTCCTCTGTCAACCTGTGTATAAAAAAAACTGGGCTTCCCCACTTGGAAGGACAGCTGGAAAGTCAGGTGTTGGATTCTCTCTTCTCTTTCTTTTCTCTGGAATTTCCAGTTTCCTCTTGCTACAGAGCCCGGTGGAGGCAGCTAGAACCAACAGAGAAAAGAAAGAAGCAGACTTGACATGAACTATGCATTTGGGCCAAGAGGAAACAGAGAACTTTATGGCATTGTGCAAATAAGGAATCAGTCTGAACTCACCAAGTTTAAAAGAATACACAGGAAGGCAGTACTCACTGACACCGCAAGTGGTGATTCCATGTAACATAATATCAGATTTCATTAATGTAGGTGAACTTTAATTATGTTGCTTTTATAGTTTTATTTATTTCTACTTCAAGTGTGCCTTTATACTTATATCATAATTATATTTATATAGCTAAGTATGTATAGAACTTATAAGCTGACATTGGGGGTTTATGATAAGGATTTTCCTTTTAAATAGGGTCTTGAAATTTACCAATTGAACTAAACACATTCAGAGTCAGAAGTAGCTTCCAAAAGCTGAGTGGGCAGATGCCCATGACACTTCCCACCCTTGCCTGACCCCAGGCCCGTGAGCTGGGCTTTCACACTCATAATTGAAATGTCAAATGTGTGACTTGGGAATTAATTAGAGACCTCTTGAAGACTTCAGTTCTTATTCTGGATACACTGATATTTACTGTAGTAGTTATTTTGCCTTTGATGATATGTTCCTTTTAAATTCTTTAATGTCATATCAAAAAGGAAAAGTCCCTTTAACCTATGACAGTGCAAATTAAAGGGCTACATTTCAGCTTCCTGAAGGATATTGAAACTATCTGGGGGATTCTGAGAAGTCTATTTTTTTTCCCCTATTGAAGTAGAATTCTGAATTATAAATTATAAATTTTTAAATTTTTATTTTAAAGAGAAAAAAGATAAACAGTGAAACCAAATTGTGAAAGAGGTTAGTAGAACAGTTACAATAGTTGATGCACTGCATATTGTTGTCTGTATATTAGTTAATCAGAGTGCAAGATACAGGCATGATCAGCACTCTTAAGACTAAATCTTAAGGACATTTTAAGTAGAATAATTTCCAGTTAATAAAAGAATTTACAATATCTTTAAATCTTATGTATGTGCTATTTAATATCTCTGTAATCCATTAGAAAAGACTGTCTGGGTTAAAATAATCTCAGCACCAAATATGGTCCAGCTGTGGTATTCATGTGCTAAACCATTGGTTCCCATGATTTACATGCAGTAGGCCATGGTTAGCTGGCTAACAATTCAGATTCCAGGGCTGGATTGCCCTGCATGTCCCTGCCTTGAGCCAAGCTGCCTGTTGGGAGTGGAGTAGCCACATGTTCTGATTCAGGCAGCCTGGCACTTTAGAACGGGGACAGGCATCACTGCTGAGTTTGACTGTAAGGCGTATACTGCCCTACATTAACACATCAAGGCCCTCAAATTCATTTCATGGCTGTTAATATTTTATGCATGTTACAGGCGAGGAAACTCAGGTTCAGAAGAGATGAGTCCTTCTCACTGTTAAACAGCTGGGCAGAGCTGGGCCATTAAACCTGTCTGACTCCCAAGGCTGATGCCCCATCAGACTGCTTGCCAAATAAATATTTAGGAACTTAAACTGCTCCTGAACCAACCGAGCTAACCTAAAATGACCCTTGAATACAGATTTTGTTCCAAAACCTACAAGAGTGGCCTGGCTATATGATGCTGGCCCAGTTGGTTTGGGGTCCCTGTGAGTTCATTTGCATTATCCTTCCTCCACATCTGATAAACTATTGTTATCCCTATAGGTCTTTGTCAGACTTGTCAAATCCAAAGTCTCTGCACTCTGTTGATTTTTAAATGAGAAAGTTTGACAAACACTTTTATTTGGAAAAGCAAGCTGAATGCCTGTAGTTAGCTTAATGTGAGCTCACTAGACTAATGCTTCTGTATTTAGCTGTAGTCATTAATATTTTGAGTTGATGCTAGTCTAAGTAATTATCCTGTCTGACACTAAAAGGTTAAAAATCATGCACTCAGAAAACACACCCAACAGGCCTGAGCAGAAAGGCAGTCCAGTGATTCAGACAGGTCTTCCCAGCAATGGCAGGTTTTCCCAGTGTCTGGGCCACATGTGAAGATCAATTACCATACTGCTGAGATTATACATATTAGAAGAGATCCAGAAGAAAATCTAACCAGGCGTCATGTTAGTGCTACTGCCGTCATCTTATCTGGCCTGTTGGCATGTCATGTTTGGTAATAACTTGATGGGTGTAAAATTTCCCATATTTATATGAAAGGAAGACCCAGCTGTGACGATTTAAATGTACAAAACAAAATACTTTTAAAATTAAAGGGTGGCAGGGAGATAGGAGAGTGTGTCCAAGTTGTGCTGGCTATTTTTCTGTGTCCACTTGGCAACAGGGTGTCCAGATTAAGGATTATTTATCAGTGTGTCTGTAAAGATGTTTCCAGATGATGCCAACATTTGAAGTGGCAGACTCCGTAAAATCAACTGCTCTCCTCAAGGTGGGTGGTTATTGTCCAGTTCATTCAGGGACTGAGCAGAAGGAAAAGGACAGAGGAATCACGCCTTTCTTCCTGCCTCGCATATTGAGCTGGGGTATGTTATCTCCTCTTATCATCACTGAGATTTACACCAACACCTCCATGGGTTCTCTACCCTTGAAACTTGTTCTGAATTGCATCACTGGCTTTCCTAGGGCTTCAGCTTGCAGATGGAAGATCATAGGACTTCTCCATAATTGTGTGAGACCAGTCTTCATAACATACCTCTGTGAGTGCGTACACATACATATATATAGTCTACTAATTCTGTTCTCTGGAGAACCTTGAATAATATGCAATTGTCTTGGTTACTTTTCTCATTGCCAAGACAAAAATATGCAACAACCAAAATTAAAGGAGGGGAGGTTAATTTGGCTCACAGTTTGTAGAGGCTTTAGCTCATAGCTGGCTGACTCTAGGCAAAGAGGCATCACAGAGGAGAAAGAGTTCAGGGCAGGCAGTGACAGGAAGGCAGTAAAGCAATGCAATAGTAAGGAGGCAGCACACGTAACAACAGGAGCCCTCTTTCTGTCCTTTATACTCTATCCAGGCTGTCCACCCTTGGGGCAGGTGGTACTCACACCCACGGTGAGCTTTGCCACTATACATACCCACGACTATGCCAAACCAATTAGTGGACTAATTTAGTAACCACACACCCTTGATCCAAGCGTCGCACACTTAATCCTAGCATCACATACTCCAGATCCAGCTACCTCTGATCTAGACACAAGCCATAACACTGGGAAATAATCATATACTTCTCAGTTGAAAAAGAAGGAAATGTACCAGTTTATTTCCCCCAAGAGTATGGAACTATCAAGTACAATAAATGTGTAAGAAATTTCTAATATAGGTTTCAAATAGGAGAGTCATTGATTGTATTATAGTAACAGTAATAGTCAGTATCTTATTTCTGCAAGTATCCTTTGATGAAAAGCAAAGATGTATTGTGAATACCATACTGGGGGAGCAGATTCCATGGGGCAGGTAAATGAGTGGACGGAATATGAGGGGGTCTAGAAAGATAAGAGAAGCTTTTCAGGGCTTCTTCTGATTACTTATATTGATTGAAGAGGGCAAAAGTATGGTGCTTAAAACTAGTTAATTCCTTGTGTTACAGTTTTAAAAGTCATAATGCTTTTGAGCTACACTATTGGGTCTTCCAAATCTTCTATTAAATTGTAGTTTGGGACGATAGTGCAGGTTAGTCCTAAGATTTTGCACACCTCTTTTGTATTGCCCAAACCTCCAGTTATGTTCTTTGTCCAAGGCTGTAAGATAGCTTCTCATATGCTGTGTAATGGACTCCTCTGGGGCCCCTCCCTGACTAGTTAGGGAATCCTTGTTAATGAAAACTCCCAGGAATCTAAAAAGTTTGGTGTAAATTCCCTTGGGTTTTAAGATGGCATCTCAGAGTGGGTTTTCGGACCCTGGGGAACTGAATTCCTTGGAAAATCCCTATGAATTTTTCAGACTTGAATCACCCAGGATGCAAAGCTATGAAGAGACCTTTAGAAAGGCTCAACTCTGCCTCTGAATACTGCTTGTTCATACAGAAGAGCAAATCAGTCCCAGAGTTGCCTCTTCCTTCAGAAAAATGGCAAACTCCCTTTGCTATTAGATGCCTCAGCGATTTGGAACAGAACTCTCTTATGGCCTGGAAAATTGGCTGTCTCAGCCACGCTTTCCTCCTGCAGAGGAGCACTTCTCATGGAATTACATGATTGTTTTGATATTCTCATAAATGGTTTGGATTTGAAAGGTGAGTTAAAGTAGAAATTCAGCCTGAACCATAAAGACATTGGAAAGAGGAGGCTGGGGTAGCAATAGGAACCTGAGAACCCACAGAACAAAACAGGAAATGGAAAGGACCAGGAACTAGAGAGGGCACAGGGCATCATCAGCATCAGAGGGGGGTCTGCTTGTGCTGATTATCTTGCATTTGCCTTTTCTGAGCCCTGTAAGGAAACTTGTGTCTGCTGGCCCTGTTTCCTTTCTCTCTAATCCCTAAGAGGACTTTCTCCTTACCCCATTTATAGGTTCTGTTGATGCAGAATTTCAGGACTGAATAAGCTTATGAATGATACACATTTGTGCACACGTGTATACATATATAGATGTGCACTCACATGTCCACATGCATGATATGAGATGTCGTCAAAAAATATTGTGTGTGTTTAAATTTTGGGGAAAATTTATTGTAGTAGACAAATTGCCATTAATCCTCTTCAAAATACTCCCACTGGCTTCAAGCATACTTAGCCACCAGTTTTACTGCTTTCTGAAGCGGTTCTGGAAGTCTTGTTTCATGTCTTTCGCTGCTCTGTCAGGGCTGGCTTGACATCCTGAAGAGATTCAAAATGTTTACCTTTCATGGTCATTTTGACTCGGAATGTTTACTTTTCCCAATGCCAGATCCAGTGAATGGAGTGGATGAGGACACACAGTCACGTTTTCATGACCTTGCCTTTTGGCTGGATGGCACTTACCAGCAGCATTCGTTGTATTTTTGTCATACTTCATAAAGATAGGCATAAGAAAGTCTTCTGGAACAGCTTCAGAAAGGGGCAAGAACAATGAGAAAAGTGTGCTAGAAGTGAGGGGGAGTATTCTCAGGGTGATTAATGGCAATGTATCTTTTGCTACAATAAATTTTTAAAATGTAAGCAATATTTTTGATAAACTCTTGTGTATGTGAATGTATCTGTATATATGCCCATACACACATTTCTATAGCTGTTCATTGAGTCTGCCTCTCTCTCTCTCTCTCTCTCTCTCTCTCTCTCTCTCACACACACACACACACACACACACACACAGAATGTTCTACAGAATTTCTGGAGGAAAGATAAGAGTAAATTATTTGAGGACATCCTGGACTAGTTATGGGGTTTATGAATTGGAGAAAAAAGGAAAGGAAAGGCAAGAGGACTTTGGGAATTGTTCTGCTTGTGAATTAGGGTGTTGTTCTTTGAGCGATGAGAGACTGAGACTTTCCAGGAGCTTTGCTGATAGCGGCCCTGTCTTACTACCAGTGCAGAGACTGAGTCACACCGGCCCCTGTGGTATTTGGTTCACACACTCACTGGCTCCCTCTGCTTCCCTTCCCCCATGTGCTGTGCACATTTCATCCCATTGGTTAAGAGGACTAGGGTGGGACATGGGGGAAAGGACAGAAATCCTTTTAAGAATCCAAACAGGTTGGAATTAACTTTTCCAAATGGGAATTCGCAAGTATGCGATCAAATGGGGACAGTGCTTTAGAGAAAGAGAAGAACATGAAGCCACTCATCCAATCAGATCCCTGGCTGTAAGACCAGGCATTATGTTGGAAGCAGGTATGAGGACATTAGATCAGGAAATACTAATTGATAGGTTGTGCTCTTGGCTTTGTTTCTAATTTACGTATCACTAGAAAAAGGAGCAAGATGTTCAGAGACAGAGAGAAAGAGAGAGAGAGAGAGAGAGAGAGAGAGAGAGAGAGAGAGAGAGAGAGAGAGAGAAAGAAAGAAAAGATTTACTAAACATCCAGTCCTGGTATTCTACTCCAATTCTACTCCAGGTATAAGACCTGGTCATAGACCTGTGTCCTGAGAACTTTGCTGAGATGCTAAACTAGATTTTATGGGTCTTCAAGAGTTATTTATAAAAGCAATTGAGGGTAGATTAGAAATTGTGGGGCCTTCTTGTTTATAGTAGACCATTTCAAGTCAGAAAAAAATTCTATGGATCGATTCTGTTGAGAATTTCATATACATACATATATATGTATATATAAGTTTTGGACTTATGTAAGGAGAAGTTTTCTGCATAATGAAGGGTACTATAAAATATTTAATAAACTAGCAAAATAAAAATAATGAAAGAAAGATTTCCTTCTTTTTGTCAGAGGAGAGATAAAAACTTGTGTCTCAGTATGTGTGTGTGTATCTGCGTACAAGTAATCTTAATAAAATCAACAGCTGAAGAACCGATTCTCTAAATATTTCGGCAGAATCAGTCTAGAACAGCAGGGAGAAGAAATTCAATTGAGGGTGCCTGGCACTATCTAAAAAATGTGAGAAATCACTGTCAGAAAGGAAAGGATTGAAATTAAACAGGTATCAAAATTACATACTGCTTGGTGGGGTGGCTCACTCCAGAAAATTGACTGCCTAGTGGGAAGTATGAAAATAAACTGCTGACTGTAATTTTATCCTGTCGCCAGGTAACTACAGTTGTAGTCAGCATGCTAATAGCAACAAAGGCACGTGTCTGCTGCAACCTCAGTAAGAGCCAGCTGACAGCCAACTGGGTTCTGCGGTACACAATCAAGGTCCTCTCCCCGCTTTCAGAACACCAGGAGAAGCTGAAGGAGTTATTTGTCAAGAGAAGCCACATTCTTTATAGTGTCAACTACAAAATAATAATAATAGCGATACCTGTGAAACTGTATAGTATAATAAAAATTACGTTTGGTCTTTATTTCCTGTTTCTGGCACAGAGCCCCTACGGCCCTTTGAATTACCTGAATGATACGAGTTTCTTCTGTTATTCATAATGAACCCCTTTCAACCCCTTCTGAGTTTGTTCTAATGAAGTGATACATAATGGGTCCATAAATAGCTCATGAGGAGAGCTGGTACCCAGAGGAACAGCAGTGCAATCATGTCATAAGAGGTACTGTGATTTATATCTACAATACCCCCTCCCCCCGCCAAGTTCTCATGTGTGCGGAAGTTAATTGGATCATGAGGGTGCTGTACACGTCAGCGGACTCATCCATTGATGAACTCAGCACTTACATGAGCTGTTAGGAGACAGGGTCCTGTGTGAGGTGTCCCTCGGGGGTTGTGACGTGGGAAGGTGTACTCTTGTCCCTGGCTCCTCCCCTTGCCCTCTGCCTCCTAGCCGCCATGAGTTGACGCATTTTCCTCCACCATGTGCCTCTGCCATTTTGTTTCTGCCTTTGAGCCAGCCAGCCGTGGACTAAAACTGTGAGCCACAATAAATCTCTCTTCCTTTTTCCCCAGAAATGGGAAAGTAACTAAGACGAGAGGGTGGAGTGGCTCAGCCCCACTACGCAACCCTTCTAGGGAGGAGAGAGGGGCTTAAAGTTGAGCTCAGTCATTAATAGTCAGTGACGTAATTCAAGTTGAGCATATACAACTGACCCTCTTAAAAACTCTTAAGCTGTGCTGTTCAGGGAGCTCCTGGGACAGGGAACACACTGAAGTCCTGGTGTGCCTAAAAAGTCAACAGGCACTCTGCCCTTCCTTCCCCATAGGTTGCTCTATCTCTATGCATCTCTTACAGTTCACCGTTCCTAAGTTATATCCTTACCAAAGCAATAACTATAAGTAAAACCCCTTCCAGAGTTTCCAAGTTGTTCTCATTAAGTGATTAGAGGTTAGTCGTGGGAACTGAATTTGTAATAGGTGGAGCAGAAGTGTAAGTAGCCTGGGAGCACTGTTTGTGGCTGGCATCTGAAGTGGGGACAGTCTGGAGGGACTGAGCATTCATATGTGGTGCTAAATTTAATTAGGGTTAGTCCTTAGCCTGCGGGGTCTGCAGTAACTCTGGAGAGCCAGGATCAGAACGGAATTCTGAATAATCAACTGGTATCAGAGAACGGGTTGGTGTCAGAAAAACACCCCACACATAAGACAGATGGACGTAACATATATATGGTGAAATTTAGGATGAGATTTCAGGCAAAAGCAAAGCAGTCTGAGTTCATAGCTGTCATACCAGTGCAGGCTCTGCCATACAGAGAAGCTGATCCAGAAGCTATTCCTGCAGCTACAAAACTCAGTTCCTTTTTGTTCCACATGAGGAAGCTTATTCAGTGTCTCATATGGGAAGAATCTATAACCCTAATGTTTCAAGGCAAATCACAATATTCTGCACTCTAACCAGTACTCATAATGAGTAACTTCAGGCGTACTTCCCAGCTGGCTGGGACTCACCAGGCTACGGCCACATGCAGCTGAAAATCGCACTTTAAGACAGAGAGGAATCATTTCTTATGAACTTCATGCTTTTAATTGGAATTTAAATGGTGAAAGATGCATATGAGCTGATATTTAGATGGAAGAGAACCATAGATATCTATATTTATGGCTGAAAAGACAAGAGAAATGTTGTGATTCAATTCTTTTATGAGTGGTTAGCAGAAGCTCAGCGTTGCTGTGACTTACCCAATATGCTTCTTGGTAAGTTAGAGGATGGGGGTCAATGGCCACATTGATGCCATAAGAAACCTCCTGCTGAGTCCAGGATCGATCCTGTGCAGACATCGCTATATATGGGGTTCTGAAGTTGGCTCTTTAGTGATCTGAGTCTGTCCTGTGTTAACATTGATTAAAACACCTTCATCATAAAACAATCAAATCTTATGTGGCGAGAGTTAAACCTAGACCTATAACAAACTGTTCATCATAACTTGGTAAAGCCCTGCTTATCCCTTATTCATAGTTTGGTAGCTCCTATAGACAGCCAGCAAGAATATGTGGCCTGCAAGGTCTTAATGGTAGGGAGAGAGAAAGAGACAGAGAAAACACATGGCTCCTAGTCCAGAGGCCAGAACTATCCTCGTGGCCCTCATCTCAGCATTCAGAAGAGTGGGACAAAGAAGGACTGCCAGCTCAGCCCGCCTGCATCTCTGACTGTCAGACACTCCTCTAACAATCCTTCCTATTTAAACATAGAATGTATGTGATCTTTCTTAAGGGTGGCACTTTCTGTTCTTGGACACCAGCTCCTTGTGGATTGTTGCCCAGCAGCTAACATATGTACCTTTTGTTGTGATGGCTCCCTGCTTTGGAGTTCAGAATTTCTGCATTAGAATAACTTGTGACAGCATTCCAGGGCTGAGAGTGGTAAAGGCCATGCGGCCCTGCTCCAAGCGTAGCTGTGCCATCTGATCCGCGCGGTCTCCCTGCTCTCCACACCCGATGTCTCAGTCTGAAAGTGACACAGTTCACTGCCACTCACAGTCCGTTCCCCAGGATCCCGCTCGAGAAGCAACCTAACTGCGACCAAGGCTGAGTGTGTAGTGAGCCCCAAAGTGCAGAGTATGTGGCTGCCGTGGGCACTCACATCCCAGGAGCACCTGTCCACATTACCTGAAGAGCCCTGCTCTGTAATGAGGGTGGTGCAGGTGGGGAGTAGGCAGGGAATCCTCCTAGGGGCTTTGGAGGGTCCTCTGCCTTTTCTCTGGAGCTACATTCTGTGTCCTGCTGAGCAGCTTCTTGTCCTTCAACTTTTATTTTACCCTATTTCTTCCCTTTAGCACCAAGGCTTTCACAGTGAGCTATATATATTTAGTCCCTCTGTCTCTCTCTGTCTGTCTCTGTCTGTCTCTCTCTGTATATATATATATATGTATATTTTTTAAAGTTGCCCATGCTGGTCTCAAATTCACAACCCTCCTGCCTCAGCCTCCTAGAGTGCTGAGATTTACAGGTGTGCACTACCGTGCTCAGTTTATGTCCTTTTATTTATTTAGAGATAAATCCTTTGGCTATCATTTCCTCTCTCTCCCTCTTACATAGTTTGATCTTCCAGTCTGGAATGGTGGAGTAAAAGCAGATTTAAGTCTTATAATATTTAAAAACTAAGCTATATATGTTATTTTAAAATTTAAAAGTAATACATGTTAAGGAAAGCTTGAAAAGTACGGCAGGCTCTAAACAACAAATCAAATCACTCACTAGTTTCCACCCTGTGACTGACCGCCTACTAACATTTCATGAAATTTCCTTCTGTCTCTCCTTCAAGGAATATCTACTCCCATGTAACCGAATTACACTCCAGGCTACTCTGAGCCCTTCGTTTCTTAGCCATGGATCATGAGTATGTTGTATTGTTGTGGAAGCACAATTTTAAACTGAGGTAAAATTACTACATGATACAATTACACAGCTATAGTGTGTAATTCAGTGGGGTTTAGTACGTTCACATTATTGTGCATCTGTCACTCTTATTGGTTTCTGCCATGGTATGAATTTGTTCCACAGAATTTGTGTGTAGGAAACTTAATCCCCAGCACATGTGGATTGAAAGGTGAGGCCTCCAGGGAGGTGTGAGGTCATGAGGGCTTCTACCTCATAACTGCATGAATATCATTATAAAACATGCCCTGTAAAGGTGCAGCTACTCAGGAGTCTGAAACAGGAGGGGATCAGGTACCAGACCCTGTTTAAAAAAAAATACAATATAATAAAAGTAATAAAATAAAATAAAATATGAAGGGCTGGGGAATGTAGCTCAGTGAGGGTTGACTTGCCTAGCATGTGTGAAGCCCTGGGTTCAATTTACTGTACTGGGAAAATGGTAGAGGTAGCAGTGGGATCCTTATAGAAGTGATTTTTCTCTTCTCCACTCCTTCACCGTGTGGGAAAGCAGCTCTCTTTGCCTTTCTGTCTTCTGCTGTGTGAAGATGTGGCATGAAGCCCAGCACCTTGATCTTGGACTTCGCAGCCTTCAGAACCGTGAGGAAGAAATTTCTGTTTTTTATGAAGTCACTCAGTCTGTTGTATTCTAAACTCGAAGCACAAAATAGACGTAAGTTCCAAACCATTTTTGTACCCCAAAGGGAAACCATACCCACTGAGAAGTTACTTCTTGGTCCCCTAACCTCTCCAGACCCTAAAAATGCTCTTGAGCTTTCTGCCTCTGTTGATTTATGCGTCCCGGACATTTCCTATGAATGGAATCATCCAACATGTAGCTACTGTGCATGACATTTATTACTTCATATCATATTTTAAAGATCTGTCTGTGTTACAGTAAGCGTCGGTATTTCATTACTTTTTATGTCTGAATAGTACAGGTCTCACATTTTGTTCACCCATTTATCAGTTGATGGACATTTGGGTTGTTTTCATCTTTTAGCTGTTGTGAGTTGTATTGCTATGAACAATGGTATACAAATGTTTGTTGAACTACTTGAGCATGTACTTAGTGGAACTGCTGGATATGTGGTAATTCTCTGTTAATGGAGGAACTGTTTCCCACAGATGAGTGTGTGCTGCCTGCCGACACCTGAGAGTGCACAGACACTGCACTATTTCACGTTTCCAATAGTATTAAGTGAGCGTTCCGACTTTGCCACATCCTTGCCCAAGCTACTTTCGTTTTTGTTTTGCTTAAATTGTAGTTATACTCAGTGTGCTTTTGTAGTGCTACAAATTGGTAATGCAGTATGATGTAATTGCATTGTGGGATATTGGTAATCGCATATATTTTGCTTGTTTTCATTCTCCTGGCCCTCTGTCTTTCCTCCCTCTCCCACAATCATCCTTCTTCACCTCCTCTTTAAAAGTCTGTTTTCAAATTTCTTGTCATCACTTTCTTCCTCCATCTCTCCCTCTTTGCCTTCCTCCCTTTTTCCTCCTTCTTCTCTATCTCTATCTCTATCTCTATCTCTATCTCTATCTCTATCTCTATCTCTATCTCTCTATCTATCTCTATCTCTATCTCTGTCTCTGTCTCTGTCTCTGTCTGTCTCTGTCTGTCTCTCTTGCTCTCTCTCTCATTGTTCATATAAGAGAAAACATGCAAAATTAAACTTTCCATGTCTGGCTTATTTTGCTTAACATGATGGCCTCCAGCTTCATCCACTTGCCTGCACATAACATGACTTCTTCATCTTTGTGGCCAAATAATACTCCACTGTGTATATGCCACATTTTCTTATCCATTCATCTATGCACAGATAGGTTGTTTCCACAGCTTAGCTATGTGAACTGAGCCACACTATCCACGGCTATGCATGCATCACTCTGCCATAATGTCTTCAGTTCTTTCTGGACTTCCCCATAAACCAAGTGGTGGTATAGATGGATTAAATAGCATTTCTATTTTTAGTTTTGTAAAGATTCTCCGTACTTATTTCCATAGAGGGTGCATTAGTTTATCTTTCCACCAACAGTACAAGATGATGCCTTTCCTCCCACAATTCCTGCTAGCATTTACTGTTTTTTGTATTCTTACTGGTAGCCATTCTGACTTGAGTGGGGTGAAGCTCATTGTCGTTTTGATTTGCATTTCATTAGTGGCTAAAGGTGTTTGACATTATTTTTGTATATTTGTCATTTGTACGTCCTCATGTACTTGGTCAGCATAACTCTTATTATGTCAGACTCACCTCGTTATATTTACTGTCAGTTTTGAGAGCAGGAAGTACAAGTCCTCCAAATTTTTCCTTTTCAAGATTATATAATTTGCAGCATCTCTGTGACATCACAGTGTGTAGACATACCTCAATTTATCTGCCTGGTCTCATGGTTGAAAAGTAGATTCTTCCCTTCAGTTATAAAGCACTCACTGAAGATGTCTTTGTTACTTCTCCCATTGCTGAGAGGAAATACCTGAAACCCAAAGTTAAAACAGGGAAGGTTTATTTTGGATAACAATTTGTAGAGGTTTCGGTCCATAGTTGTCTGGTGCAAGGCAGGGTGGCATGGCAGAGGGGCACGGCGGAGGAGAAACTGTTCATGGCAAAGCAGGGTAGGCAGAAGGCGGCCCTTTATATTTTACCCTGGCTACCCACGTTTGGGGGTATCACCTATACATAGGAGGGGTACCCTTAATCTCGGCAGCACATCCTTAATCCCAGTGTAACATACTCTAATCCAGCCACCTTCAAACTCCCCACTTGTGCCCATATGAGGCTTTGGAGAGATATCTAGATACAAGCCATAAGAGATCACCTCCTACAGCAAGGTTTCCCCACTTTTATCTATCCTTCCCCGCCCTGGGAATCCATGTCTTTCTGCATTTATTGTGTAACAAGGAATAAATCATATCTCAAAAGATTTTTAACTTTTTAAAATCTACAACTGCTGCCAACATCCTGTCATGAACTACGTCTAGTTGACATTCAGAAGAGAATTACCTTCTTTTAGTCACAGTAGAAGTCATTCATTCATCCCTTCCCTCAAGGAACATTTTGTGGGCCTTTGAGCCACTGTGGAGGGTGGGATGAGAGGATCTAACTTCAGTTATTCATTTCCCCTTATCGCTCATTTGGCATCTCTGCACAGGGTGGAAAAAGATTGGAGAAGAAACCAAGCCAGGATGGTTTTAGCTCATCTTGTGTTCCGATCAGAAGCAGACAATGTCTAGCATCTAAATGTGAGAAGATCTTCCTACTGACGACAAAGTAGAAAAATGGGTGAGAGAAAATCACTAGGGTGAGAAAGCACTAGAAAGTTTTGGAAAGTTGCTGTTACAGCTGCTGTAATTCCCTACTTCACACTGCTGAAAGACAATGAAAACTTCAATAATGCTCTTTGACTGCCCAATGCTGTACAGCTACCTTGGCCTCGTATTGAATTTCTGAAGCAAACACTGTGGTTAAAACAGTTCTGAGTTTTATATAATGCCCCACTTTTAATATATATTTTCCTTTGACCTGTAAGTCTATTTTTATCATGACCTTTCATTGGGTTCTCTGTGTTATTCCTTCACTCTAATTGCTTCCCTGTCTCTGCTCTCTGTGGGTGCCATAAAATGATTCAGGGCTGCTGGGTCCTTTATTTCTCAGTCATTTTGTACCTTTTTAACATTTGAATTTCTACCTCTCAAAGCCTATACTGCCCACCATGAATAATACAAGTACACCCTCCCATGCTAACGAACCTTCTAGAACTTTCAGTGATAATAAACAGCCCGCTGTGGCAGGCAGGCCTTACATTCGCTACCACAGAGGCGCAGGACAAGCTCCTCTACTGTTTCCCAAAACAGGTTTATAATTATGATATTCATTTGATTTTCCAAAAATTTTGTTCCAGTAAATTATACTTTTCTTATATAGTTCTATAAAAAATAGACTGCTTTTGAGGAGTTTGGGCTTATAAAAAAATTAATCAGAAACCACAGCATTTCCACATACGTTGTCATAGATTCCCCCAGCCAACCCACATCCAGTGTTCCCTTTTATTATCATCTCCCACAGTGCGGTACCTTTGACAATTGATGAACCAATAGTGACACATTTTTAACTCACACCCATAGTTTAGATTGGGGTTCATTCTTTGTGTTGTACATTGTGCAGGTTTTCACAAGTATATCATGACATATACTCACTATTATAATATTGTACAGAATGGTTTCAGTGCCCTAAAATGTCCACGCTCCTCCTGTCCATCCTCCAGCTGTCTCTCTCCTTGAACACCCAGCAACCATTGATTCTTTCAAACTGGCTTCTCTCACTGACACTTACGGGTCTTCTGTCTGTTCATAGCCTGATGTTTCCTTGCTCTACCTTTTCCTTCTCTTCCTCCCTTTCTCTTTCTTTTTCT